CGGGGAGTGAGGGCCGGGGGCGCGTGGTCTGGAGGGGCCGGTGCCAGGAGTAGGCCCTGGTGGCTGTGGCTGCTGCAGCCTTAACTGTCAGTGCTGGCTGAGCGCAGCAGGGAGGGTTTTGTCGCTCGCGGGTACCCGAGTGGGCCCCGGGGTGGGGCGGACGTGCAGGGGCCTGGAGCTCGGGGCCTCCTCGGAGAGCCGAGCGGCGGCTTCGGGCAGCGGAGGGGCAGGCCTTTTCCTCCAAAGGGGCGCTCGGGGTGGGAAGACATATTTAGACGTGTAGCTTGCTCAGTGGGCTGGGGGATTGGGGGTGGGTTGGGAAGGGCAGACAGAGGAAGCAGCTCATCCAGACATCAAGGATCGCGCTCTCGGCTTCTCCGTGTGCTGCCGCCGCCGCCGCCGAGAGGATCCAATAGTTGAACGTGAGTTACTGGATTCCTCAGAAACTGCTGTGTTAGATGGAAATGCAAACCTGTAAGCAGTTGACCTCCTCCTCCTCCCCCCTCCCCCTTTTCAGTTGAGAAAAATGAAAGGGACTTTTCCCCCCGTTTCGATGCGGAGGCTTTTTGTTGGAAGAGTCAGAATTGAATGTGCCAAATGCTTGAGCCCTAAGAATAGAAAATATAATTTTAATACGACTTTTCAGACTTAGAATAATCTTCGAAAGGCAATTTTATGTCTTTTTTTTAATGACTTAGGAGCTTGTCAAAGTAGAACAGTACAGTTTTCTTTGGGATTGTATTAACTAGCTAGTGTGCTGTTGCAATTGTAAACTAAATAGTAAATGCGATGTATGATCCACGATGATCTTCAATGCTGAAGTACTGTGGCTATAACCCATGCTTTTGGGAGAAGCAGCAGATTATGTCAGGATATTTTGGAGAGGAAAGTGCGTTTGAGATCAAGATGACCTAAAGTTTAAGAAATATAGCCCCTAAAAAGCGACATACCAAAGCCGTGTCGCTACCGAATAAATTTTGTTGAATAAATGGGCAGGCAGAGTGACCGGAGAAGTGTTTTCCTCCCTCCTCAGATTAATGACTGCTCTTAAGATACCTGTGGCAAATCAAGTAAATTTAGAATTTAGGAGAGAGAAAAAGAAAAAAAAATTTGCTTTGGTATGAAAAAAAATTTTGTTTTGCTGTGTATGATGGAAATTCCTTTGGTACTAGAGTCTCCATTTAAATCAAATCTGCTTAATGCATTTCCAAGGAAAGGAATAACTGCATCTATACTGCTGATAAACCTGAAGTAGGGATGACTGTAAATTCTTAAATCCTTAGCATTACAGAAAAAAAAACCCATTCATCAAAGTCTGTAACAAAAATGAGAGCTTCAACAAATAATATGGCATCTGTATGTTTTTTTAATAAGAAAAAGATACCGTACATAATAAAAGAGATGACTTGTAATTTTGGTTTCAAAATCAGAATGTGAGCTATGAAGACATGGGTCAATATTTAACTTTCATTGGTGTGTGGAGTAGTATACACAGACTCCTTTGGACGTTGCCCCCACACCCGAGGAGTTTAAATTTATGGGGTTAGAGAATCCCTTTTGCATGCAGATTTAGTAGGCGACTTTTGTTTTTATCCCTGAAATCACTGCCCCCACACACCTTTTAAAAAATTTTTGTTATTATTATTATTCTTTTTTTTTTTGGAAAGTTTTATGGTGTAGCTCTAGATGACCTGGAACTCTCCTCCTGACTCTGTCTTCAGGGTGCCGGGATTAAAAGGTGTACGCCACAGGACTGGCTCCCATTCTGTTTCATGGCTTTACATGTAATTTCCTCCCGAGACTACTCATCCCACCTGCTTAGTCCTTTTAACAGCGTTCATTGGCTTTCTATAGCGTCTCTGACACGTAACATTAAAGACAATTGTGTTTTTTAAACATGTGTCAATATCTTCTGTCAAATAATTGCTGTAATGTTTCTCTCAATTTTTATGAATATTGTCCTCTAAATTGGCCATAGCTAATTTTTTCTGCTCAGGAGCTGAAAATGATTTTTGTAAATGTCCTTTTAAAAACACTTAAATGTTTACTGGTATATTTTTATCATTTATTCTATTTAGGTTTATATTTGTTGTTAATGAGCATCACTGGTAAATGGATACATACTTATTTTAAGTGTGTAAGCAGCTATTAAAACATCAGTGTTCTGATGTTAGAAAGCAGAAATGGGTTTTCAGAAGTGATTTTTTTTTTCCCCCTCCGAGACAGGGTTTCTCTGTAGCTTTGGAGCCTGTCCTGGAACTAGCTAGCTCTCGATGTTTTAAGTACTTTGAAGTGTAAAAAGTCTAAGACAGAGGGTCATATAAAAATAGTCTTTAAAGAGTCTTTGATATTCTCTTCATAAGCATTTAGGATAATGCTTATGGAGTTTAGAATGGTTTTGACAGTTTTCTTCCTCACTAATAAATATAAAGACAATGTTAAGACAGGCATGGTGTCTGACATCTGTAAACCCAACAATCGAGAGGCTGAGGCAGGATTGTGGCAAGGTCGAGGCTAGTCTGGGCTAAAAGTGAGAGCATATCTCAAAAAAAATGATTAGAGATGTAATAAAATATGTAATGGGAAAAGCTTTGTGTGTGTGTGTGTGTTTTTTCCTTTTCTTTCTTTCAAGACAGGATTTCTCTGTGTAGCCCTGGTTGTCCTGGAACTAGGTCTGTTGACCAGACTGGTTTTGAACTCACAGAGATCCCTTGCCTCTGCCTCTGGAATAAAAGCTCTGTGCCACCATCACCCAGCCTCCAAATAGCTTTGTAATTAGAGCTTGATTTCCTTTTTACTGAGCCATCGTTTTGTCTATAAACAAGATGGTGAAAGTGTCCCACATGTCAAGATTAAAGACAGTACAGGGCCTACTAGTTAGAATTTCAACTTTCCATTAGAAGACTTCATATCCAGTTTTTCTGATGATCTTTAAGTACGTTGTATACAGTAGTCTATAGTTCATTATTTGTTCTACTACTTGTTTTCTTTCTCATTGTGAGCTCAGTGCAAGGATTTCTATTGTTTAATCAGAGAGTATCTTTCCAGATCCTTAAGCCTATTCAGCCTGCTATATTGTCAAACACTGGGTAGTTTACATAAAGAAAAAAACACCCCCCCCACATTAAATAGAAATGTATCTCATAGTTATGCTATGGACAGTGAGAAAGACTAAGATCAAAGCTAATTTTCATTGAAGACTCCAGTAGTGTTGGATTTGTTGAGCTGGACTAGGGGTTGAATTTAAGGCCTTTCACATGTGAGCCAACTACTTTACCCCTTCCTTGTCCTTTTTTATTTTTTGACACAGGTCTCTTTAGGTCTACTAGGCTGGCCTTAGACTCACTCTAGCCCAGGAAGACCTTGTGAGCTGGGAGCCCTCCTGTCTCAGCTTTCACAGTATCTAGATTGCAGACCTATACCATCATGTTTGTGTTGGATTGTGTCTCTATGTTTCTGTCTCTATTGTTTTTTTCTTTGAGATTTTATGAGAGTTTTGCCTGCATTTATGACTGCACCATATGTGTGTGGGGCCTGTGGAGGGCAGGAGAGAGTGTTGGGTCTGCCGTGATTGGGATTACCGACAGTTGCCATGAGGACTCTGGAAATTGAACCTAGGTTCTCTGGAAGAACAGCAGGTCCTCCTAACTGCTGAGCCTTCTCTTCAATCTCTCGTTCCCTCCCCTCCTACCCTTCACTTTTTTCTTGTGACAGGGTCTCACTAACCTTTGAAACTAGCTATAGAAGCTAACCTGGCCTCCTACTCAGAGGACCCCTTCGCTCTGCCTTCCCAGTGCTAAGAACACTGTTCACATTCATTAAGGCAGATCCTCCTAGAAGCCTCACCTTATAATATTGTCACCTCAGCTTTTAGGCTTCTAGAGAAGTTTTAGGGGGATGTGAACATCAAGATCATATTGTGGAATATGTTTGAAGTAGTTATCAGTATATTTACAAATGGTCAGCTAACATTTCTGAATATCTTTTGAATACTATGAACTTGCCTGGGTTGTACGGGTTAAGAAAACAAGAACATGTCTATCAGTTGGAAACTGATAGTTTAATAAATAAATAAACTGCATTTATTGTGCATGACACCATTTTTTAAAAATGTAGTATCTTGTCATGTTATGGGGCTTACTTCTCTGTCCTTTCAGCCTTAGGGCAGTCCTGTAGTCTTAACATCCCTTCCCCCCTCAGCTGTAGTTGTAAAGACTTACTATTTGTACTTTTTGGGGAGGGAGTGGTGTGGGGATACAATCCAAGCACCTGTGTTCGTGTCTTGGATCCAACTTATCATTCAGTAGCTGATTTCTAGCATACATAAATGTATGGTGTATATAAAATGAGTAGATTGACTCTGGCCTTGACCTGTTAGTGCTGGCTTTTTGGAGAGTGCTTTCCATCTAGTTCCTGACACAGGAGTCACAAATGTTACAGACCTGAATAGTCCTCCACCTGAGAGCAGCTACTCTCTTCATTTTTGTTTTTAACACGAGGAAATCAAAGAGCTAAGGTTTAATATGGTTTTCTTAAATTCATCTAGGGTCAGAATCAATTTGGAGTCTCTGGCTTCCAGGTCAGAATTCTACATTATTGGCAGGTGTTCTGTCCTGTGTGTTCAAAAGAACAGTTAAAATTACTTTGTAATTGCCCGCCCACGTTTATGGAGGTATGTATTTTCCATACTGTTGATAAAAGGTAACCTTTAGAAGATGCTACAGCCAGAGCTTTTATTCTTTCTAATAAAGATGTGAAATAAAATTGTATTAAATAGAAATATTGTTATTTTTCTCAACTTTTTATCCAAAATGTTGGAAATACTTGAAGTTGCTTTATTCCTTCTTAACAAAGTGACTTATTGATAAATATGCATCAAATTTCTTTTCATGTTTTCATTTAATTCAAAATACTAGTTACAGTTCCCTGATTTCAGTTGTTTGTAACAAGTAAACTAACTGGATAGTAATTTGGAAATAGTATTAGTACTATCTACAAATGAAATAAAGTTAGTGAGTTTTTTTTTTTTGCACTGCTTTTGATAGAGGTTCAAGTATATGTTAAGTATCTCTAGTATCTCTAGGTCTTATTCCCAAAGCTACACAAGAATAACAAATGCTTCTGAGTTTCAGTGGTTCAGGAGATAAATATAACCTGCGACTATTGAAATAAAGGAAAGAATGCACTATTTCTGCTGCCAGAAGGTCTTTTGCTCTCCTCACTCTGCGTTTTCATCCAGAATGAGCTAAAAATGAGCAGGCCTTTTATCTTTCTAAGGCCCCTTTAATATACCTCATGAAAGCTTTATTGCTGTCTAGTTACAGAGGCTTATGTTGCTCATATGCAGTACTTCCTGAAAGTTGATTGGTACTGTTTAAAGTAACTTGCCCAGAAAATTTGTAGTAGAAAGGGTCATGGAATAGGATTAACATTCTACATGCTAAACCTTTTAAAGAAGTAGTTTTTGAAGAATCAGTTTTATGACCAAGTTGTATTAGTGATAGTAACAAACTAGATAGGCTTATTCTTGAAGATCAGTTGTGGCAAATATGAGTAGGAGTGGCCATTAAGGAATTTCGTCTGGTTTGTGCAAGGGAATCCTGTGTAAGTCTTACTGAAGTTGGCATCTTTACTTGAGGTAAAATCACAAAAGTAGTGTATAGATCTGGAAGATTTGTTTCATGAGTAGGTAGAGTCTTCCTTACCCATCTGTTTTCTGTTCTGTGTGAAATCTGGTGCTGTTACTCTTGCATCTCAGTGCATTTCAGAAGTTGGTCTTCTGTACCTGCCAGCATCAGTTGAGTGAGCAATGTAACACAGATCTTATTAAGTTGATAGAAATCAAACATTCAAAAAAAATTTGAATTTGTTTTTGCGTTGCTAGGGTTGGAGGGCTGGGCCCTACAACGTGCCAGGCAGGATATCTATCTGTGAGCTACATCCCCAGGTTGAAAAAAATATTTTAACTTCTTTGTATTATGAAGACTTGTAGATCTTTTGTAATTGGTTATGTTTTGTGTGGGTTGGTGGTAGTAGCAGTAGTGGTTGTTTGAAAAGAATCAAGCTACATAGCTAAAACTAGACTGTATCTGACTGTAACCCAGGCTGTACTTGAATTTTTGCTCATATACCTATACCTCCTGAGAACTGGAACACTTTATTTCTTGTTGATTTTTTTTTTTTTTTAAAGACGGTGTCTTATGTAGCCCAGGCTGATCGCAGATTCCTTGTAGCTGAAGATGACCTGAGCTACTTACCCTTCTGATCTCCCTGCTCCAGTGCTGGGTCTGTGGCTATGAACTACTGTTTCTTACCTGTGCCCAGGTGCATACGTGTTCAATTCAAACGTTCTTTTGGGCATTTAAAGCAAGGAGGTTTACACACAAATTGCATAGCTACAAGCCTGAATGAACTTGCTGTCAGTGTTGTACTTTTATGGATGGTCTTTTTATGTAACAACTTCTGTCTGTATAAAAGAGATGGCTTGTCCACTTCATACTTCTAATGGACTTCCTCTCAAATGTGAGAAAGTGGTCCTTGAATTGCCTTTGTGAAATGCAGCCATGGCCATAACTGGTTTAGTTGTATTGCCTGTGATATAAAATAAATTCTGATGCCTCTAAATATAGAAGATGTGAGCAATATAGAGGATAATATGACAAATCAGCCACATATGTATCATTCAGTATGAACAAACTTTTTATTTTGTTGTTTCCTTCCACTCTATTGTCCTTTCTGAAATTCATTCTTTGTATTTTTTAGTTGATACCTTTAGTAACGCTGTAAGAATTTCTTCTCATTATAGTTTCAACATTCCACCTAGGACCTAACTGGAAGCATAATGCTGTTCTTTGGAAATGCATGGTGCTTTCTGCATAGTCTGTCATAAAGGGAAGTATTTTCCCCAGCTTATTAGTATTTTTTTCCTTAAGATTTCTATTTATTGTGTTCTTCAGTGTGGTTATGTACCATATTTGCTAACCATACAATATGCCCAAAATAGGGATATTTAATATTTGTCTTTGCTAAATATTTTTATCACTTTAAAATGATGCTTTTGAAGTATCTAATGTATATTATGTGTATGAATTGATAAATCTTATTTCAGATAAAAACTAATTATATATATATATATATTGTTTTTCTTTCCTTGCTTTTGAAGTGAGCTGACAATGTATCCTGTGTTGCTGATGGGAAGTTCACTAAGAAAATACAAATTCTGAGTTTCTAATAATTGCTTTTTTTCCACTTGTAAATGCTGCTCCATTCTCGTTCTCTCTTACTGTTTCTCACTGATTTTGTAACATCATATAGGTTTTTACATTAGAGAATGGAAATAGGAAGTTAAACTTTAGGAACTTAAAGGAGAAATACACTTTTTTCCCCCATATATTTTGAAATAAGAACCTATAAGCATAATAGAAAAACTGAGATAATTTTAGTCTTTTATACCCAGAGAATTCAGTATCTGTTCTTCAGATTGTGTATAATTACTGCCTAGTACATGATGTTTTGTGTTACTTCAGAATGAGCTTTTTTGATCTGATTTAACTGTAAGGATCATCTTCCTATTCCATTCAGAAAGTGTTTGTTACTCCATTTTTTTTGAGCTAAATGAAACATAGGGAAGAGGTGAACTTAAAAACATGTATTTTTGCAGTGGAATATGTAGGCGGTTTGCCAGTTGAAATTAAATCTACTCCTATATTGAAGAGTCTGTGAGAACAGTAAATGTTTTCTGTGTACTCGTTTTGCATTCACTGTTTTTCTTCCTTTCTCCATCTTTCCCCCTTTATCTCCTTTTCCTCCCTTCACCCTCTGATCTGCCTCTTCCTTGGCCTCCCCATCAGCCTCTTCCTTTTCGTTTGCAGATGTAGGTGTTTGTAAATACTGCAGCGAATGAATTGCTGTCTAGTTTGTGCAAGTCTGGTTTAGGATGTTTGCTACGGGCTTGGGAAACATGTATGTGTGATAATAAATAATGAAGTTAAGCAGAAGTAGGCAGTGCTAGATCAGGACTGGACAGTTTACTAAAGACCTAAAGCCTTACTTTATTAATATGCCGATGCTGAATTTGTTAAGGCATTCTTAGAAAAGGTGGGAAGTGTGTGGGTGTTGTATCTGTGTTTTCCATATTTCTAGGTCATACCAAATTTTGAGAAATTGAGATGTCATTTTTTTAGTGTTCAAGATGTAGTACTATTATTTAGACACTTACTCTGTGCTTAAAATTACCATGTTGTAATAATAGCATTCATGTGTTTATGTACTTATTTATTTATTTATTGGTTCTGGGCATTAAACCTAGGGCAAGTTTCTGTTACTATTGCTATTAATATCATTATGTTATATATGGTTATATATGTTGGCCATGAGAGAACCATATTATGTGTGTGAATGTCAGAGGATAATTCGGTAGAGTCTCTGTCTTTGTAACATTGCTCCCAGAAATCTAACCCAGCTGTTAGGCTTGTATGGCAAGCATTTTGCATACAGTCACCTTACCAGCTCTACAGCCTTATCTTATTAGGATATTTTTCACAAAGCAGGAAGAATGGGTCACCTAATTCTGCAAGGTCCCATTACTTTGTTTTTAGCTTGGACATTGTATATTCTTGATTTCACTTTCTTTTTAAAACTTGTTATTAAAATACTTAAAATATTTAGTAAATAATACAGCACAATTCTACTTACTATCCAGAAATCTAAATAATACCAGTTTTGGTATTTTTAAAATTTAATTCCTTCCTCCAAGTTCTAGTACCTTCTCTCTTACTAATGTAACAGATATCTTGAAGTTCTTGATCATTTCCTGTTTTGTGCTTAAATATGATCCTTGCTCATAAGCGATATGTCACGCTTAAGTTTTTATAGCTGTATTTTGTATATACAAGTCATCAGTTTAAGTGTTTTAACTCTGTTATGTTTTTGATATGTATGTAGATGCATTCAGGTTTGTTTTACTGCTCTGTGGTAATTCACTATATGTATCCCACTGCAGATGAATATTTTGGATTATTTCCTGTATTGCTCTTAGGAATAATGCTACAGAGATGTCTTTATACTTCCTTTGTACAGGCTTTTCTTTAGGGAAATTAAAGAAATGATGTTGCTAGAAAATAGGCTATGTCTTTAACTTGAATAGATAATGGCTAAATTCTTAAGTAAATTGAATTTGCCAATAGATACTTCATCAGCAGTGTATGAACATTTTTGTCCTGGCATCTTTTTTCCATACTTGGAATTGATTTTAAATAAAGATATCAAATGGCATCATATTTTGTGTTTGCTTTAATTCTGAGTGGTGGGTAAAATGGTGTGAGTTTTATGATTTTTTTTTTGTTTTGCACATTTCACTTTAGCAAATTTAAATAAAAACTCTTTTTCTTTTTGGTACTCAGGATTGAAATCCAGTGCCTGCTGTATGCTAAGTAATTTTCTATGTGTCTTATAATTTACAGAAGAAATTTAAAAGAAAAGACACTGTGAGCATGGTTCATGTTGACAAGGACTTTGGGAACTGTCATATCCAGCCTTTGTGTTTTCGAGTGCATTCGAGGATGCTTTCAGTATAAAACAAAATGTTAAATCCACTGTAGCATTCTCTCTTCCTTTACAATCTCAGTCTCAGTATCTAATTGGAAAGTCAGGATTCTTACAATTTTACAAAGGGAAATTGCCTGACATATTTCCTGTTATTAGTGAGGGTTTTTGGTATGGATTATTTATTTTGGTCCAGCTGAAGAGAGGTCGGATTCCTTTTTAAAATAATAATAATAATATAAAAAGCTACTGGTTCTAACATTTTTCTCCAATTTTTTAAAATGTCTCTTATATCATGCTCTACTTTTCATTTCATTTACTTTAGGTTTTTTCATCAGTGATTTTTCTTTGTAATAACTTGATAAACAGTTTTGAAAATTGGGATTCTAAGGCTCCCTACTTAATTTTGGAATTGTCTTGGTTCTTCTTTGACCTTTATTCTTCACAGTACTGTAAAGCCAGTTTATCAGCTTCCTTTGGGGACTGATACCATATCCTTTTGTGTGTGGTATCTTTGTTTTTTGACATAGCATTTTAAGGTTCATTCATGTTGTGGCATATATAATAGGAAATCATTCTTTTTTTAATGTTTGATTGTCTGTTCAGTCATTGGCTGATAGGTATTTTTGTTGCTTCCAATTTTGGTTGTTAGTGTTTTTGTAAATATATATTTACAGCTTTTGTTGTGAACATGCATCATTCTCTTGAGTATATATGTAGGTATGAGTCAGCTAGGCCATAGGTTAACTATTTAAAATTAGAGGGACTTTCAAATGCTTTTCAAAGTGGCTGTATTTTTTTTAAATAATTTAACTAGTAATATGTGTGAAGGTTCTGATTTCTCTATTGTTGCTGTTATTGTCTTTACTTGCAGTCTTTTTAATTATTGTTTATTTGGAGTGCTCTAAAGGTTTAGAAATATTAGTTTTGGTTGTTGTTGTTTTTGTTTTTTATTTTGCTTTTAATAGGCCTTGTTAGATGAATAGGGGATGGAAATGGCAGAGCAAGGGAGACATTTCTAGAGAATTGTCCTGAGAAGCAAAATTATTGAGATCAGAAATAAGGACTTCTAATATATGATAGAGTACAATAACCAAAGGAGGTTGATATCTCAGGATGTCATCATTTATGGGTAATATTTGGATGACTGGGTGTGGCCATGAGAAGGACCTCAGCTAATACGAGAAAAAAAATTGAAATTTATGTTATTGGTATTAAGAAGGCATAGGATTTTTTTTTTAATATGAGAAATAAGCTGATTCTAACTTTGGGGAAGATAATTCTGTCAATGTGTAAGAAAGAAGCTAGTTAAAATGACAAAACTTTATGTTGCAACAATCTTGGTAACCATGTGGGGAAGAAAAACAATAGATTGTTTAAAGTTAAAATATTAAGAAATATTTTTAAAGTTAAAATTTCCAGGCCAGAATGTGAGTTAGGATGTTTTATAAAGGAATGGACATGGATGGTCTTTAGACTCAGATTGATGTGTGAATCTTAGCTTCATACTTATGTGTTACCTAAAGAAAGTCACCCAAGCTTTCCTTTCTATGAGTTATTTCATTCTGTAAACACTTTTAAGGATTGTAAGTATAGAAATGAGTGATTGACGTACTCTTTTAGTGTTTAGTCTGGAAGAAGAGGCTGTGCTAGCAGGGCTTCATTGCATGGTCTTAAATGCTGTGATAGCGAGAGTAAGCTTTGTTCTGAAAGCAACTAAGAGCCACCACAAAAATGCTTAGGGATACTATTGGATTGTTGGGTCATTCCAGAGGTAGAATTGGTAGCAGTACATAAGCAATATATTTGATTTGGGAGGAGAAATTTTACAGTATTATTTGAGTTTTTTTGATTTGAGTTGTTGAACTGTGAATCCTAAGTAACAGTATGTCACAGGATTTACTTAGTATGTGATAAATTTTATCTCTTGTGGAGACTCTTTTCCACAGGTTAAGTCAGGATTCTATTAACAGCATCATTGTCTGTGAATCTCCTCCATAGCTTTTCTCTTTGAATAATAGTTTATTATGAGTTTTTAATTTGTCCTCATTTCCCCCACAGTATATAAGAGATCATATATTTTCAGGCACCAGTATACACTCAAAACCTAACTGACATGTTTTGAATGAAGAATTTGAAGACTTGCTAGTAGTTAGATTAAATAGAAATAAGGAAAGACGATGGCACGAGAGTTTTCCACTCCTTAGGACAGTCAGACTGATGATATATAGAGTAGAATGGTTTTTGCTTTTTTTTCTTTTGTTTTGCTCTTTGTGGTGTAATTGAGATTATTTTTAATTTTAAATTACTTTTAGATGCTGTTATACTTTTTAGATGGTGTTATACCTTTTATCATTAGGAGTTGGGGGAGGTTATAATGCCAGAGATAAGGTCTTAAAAATATAAATGGTGCTAAAGCTATAGAGAAACCCTGTTTGGAAAACCCCAATATATATATATATATATATATATATATATATAAAACAATGTTTTTGAATATATATTCATAAAATGGAATCTGTGCATCATTTGGAGTTTATTCAAAATACAAGTTCATGCATTCTTATTGTACTGCATCAGAATCACGTCAAGAAAGCCTAAGTTTGTCTGTTTGTCCATTCTTCTCTCCGTCATTTCTTCCTTCCTTTGTTGCTTTTCTTTTTTTCCCCCCCCCTTAAGTTTTTTTGGGGGGGGGGGCGCAGGTTCTCTTAGTTTAGGCTGGTCTAGAACTCACTGCACAGACAAGTCTGCCTTTGAATTTCTGATCTGACCTCTCCAGTGCTGAGGAGATACAGATGTATTTCACCATTCCCACCTAAAGGTAAATTTTAATAGATTTCCACAAGTAAGTTTTTGGTTTTTTTGTTATTTGTTTTTTATTTATTTATTTATTTTGGTAAAGCATGAAGCCAGCTCTCAAAACTCTTAATGGTTTATTCGTGTGTGTGTGTGTGTGTGTGTGTGTGTGTGTATTAAAGTACTTAAAGCAAGGCTGGGCATGGTGGCACACATCTCTAATCCCAGCATTCAGGAGAGAGAATCAGGCAATCTGTGAATTTAAGGCCTACCGAGTCTACATAGCAAATTTCTGGCTAGCCAAAGTTATGTAGTGAGACTCTGTTTCAAATCTATCAATTTGTTCGTCCGTCTGTCCATCCGTCTGTCTGCCTACTCTACCTTCCTTTCTACCTATAAATAATATGCAGATATATTTATTTTGTTCCTTCAACCTGTTATGTATTGGGAGGGTTTCTTAGTCACTGGGATTTGGTTTTCTCATTATGAAACAAATGAGAATACCTGAAAACTGAAAAATACCTCTGATAGGTTATAAATGAACTCTGAACTAAGAATTTAAAAATTATTGAAGAGCTTACTTTAAGCTTTGTAGTAAGTTGGGTGTTTTTGTAGTTTTTATTTGTAGAGAGTTATAATAGACATGGAGGGGTTTACATAAGTAATGCCGCAGTGTAATGGGGCCCTGTTGTGTGCCAGGAAGGAATCTATATACTTTGAATACATTTTCTTTAATTCAACAACTTAATTCTTGAGAAACTGAGAGGTCAAAGGATTTAGCCATGGTTGTACCTCTAGGAGGTAGTAGATAAGCTATCAATGTTTTTTTACAGCAGATTTTTTGCATATAGAGTTTATCTGAAAGCAGAATTACTATAGGTATGTGGAGGGATCTGAGGTATGTGAACAGTTTTCATATATTTTCAGCTTATCTCTGAAAAGGCTAAGGAAATGAGGAGCGTTGATCTTTGTATGTGAAAATGAGAAACATGCTTTCCCAGATGAAAATATTCAGATCCCAGTCTGCTTAGCTACCCTGATACTGATCTTGGTAACAGGAATAGGGAAATTTGTCTTTCAATATGTTTTTAGATCTTTATAAGTATTATTGAAGATGGATTTGCTTTTATTTTATAATGAATATCAGTAATTTTTTTCTGAAAGACTATCCACTTGTTTATGTTGAAAGAATTGAGTGAGGTGTTTTATATTTTAGGTTAAAAATCTGTAAGAGCCTGATTTTAGAATTCACCAGCTCCTCAGAAGTTTGGCGAAATATGGTATGTCTCTGTTTTATTTTTTGAAATTCATATTGCATGAATTATTGTCATGGCTAACATAATGACAAATGCGTTCAATAAATTTGAGCGTCTGTCATTTTTAAAGGATCATGCTAGGTACTGAGTATGTTACCAGGTAGACTGAGAGATATAAGCGGGGTGCTGAAAGAATTTATAAGAGATTACTGTACTATGAGAACATAAGTAATGTGGATAAGAAGATCAAGGAAATAGATTTGGATGTTAGGCTGTGAGTATAAAGAATCTCTTACTTGCAAGCGTATTATATACAAGGCATGCTATGGTCTTAATTCTATCTGTAATGTAACTGAAGTTTAGAGAGGTAATCTAACTTGCCCAAGGTTTCCCAGGTAGTAAGTGATCAGACAGAGGGATCTCAGATTGGCATTGGAACCAGTATTGGGATGAGCTCTCCACCTCATAAAAAAAGAAGAGTACTTGATTTAATCTTCAGAGTGTGTGTAGTTCTTTAATGAATTAATCCATTTTATTTTAACTTTTGTCAATTTTGTGTTTTTAAGTTGGAAGTTAGATTCATTCAGATATCCTCAATCCACTTAGACTATTAGTATCATGAGAACATAAAGGAACTATCTCATGAACCACATCATTTAGTTCAAGAATGTTGTTGCCTCTGTCCATTGCTATCCCAACGATGCCTATGTTATTAGGAAACATATAGTAGGAAAATCTGGGAAATTGAGTTATTCCTTACAGAGATTATAAGTCCTACTTATTGGAATCCCCTAAAGTTGTGAACACTAGCAAAAATATGAGCTCAAACATTAATTTTTGAATAATTGCTTTGAGATTCTCAAATACCTTCCTGTTTTCAGTTGAGTTCTGGGTCATGCTGTTAGTGACCTTGTTTGTATGTGCTGTCAATTTGCGAATGTTAGTGTGAAGGGGCTTTCCCCTTACTAGTCTTAGACTTCTTATTTCTAGTTATTCAAATTTGTTCTGTCTGGTTAAGTCAGTGGACGATGCTTGAGGGAAAAACTAGCTGGATAAAGTGATATACCAGTACTGTATAATATATTGCTAGTGTAAGGCATTTTGGCAGAATTAAAGCATGATTAAAGAATACAGTGAAATTTGAGTCAAAAAATTTACTTAAAACTTTGTGTTAGAGTTAAGGTACTTGGAGAATAAGGGTATGCATTTGTATTTCGCTGTGTAATTTTTATAGAATTGAGTCTATAGGATTGAGCATGGACACTTTCTTATACAGCCAAGGGTTTTAAAGTTAATTTTAGATGAATCTACTTTAACTACAGAATATGTATATGTGCAACTATTTCATCAAGAGTTTGCCTATGGCAAATGGTTTCTCTATCAGTTTAAGATTCCTGTTATTAAATCAGTCTCATTTTAACTATTGCCACAGTCCATATTCTAATTCTTTGTTTATTTGTAAGTATATAAATCTCAAAAGTCTGTAAAGCAAAGCTAAGTCATAGCAAAATTTTAATGGTTGGTAGAAAGATAGTCAATCTTGATTTTAGTCTTATTTCAACATTATTTGTGAAACCTTGGACAAGTCAGTTAGTCACTCCGAGGCTGGTTATTGTTATTCTTAAGTGTCTGCTTGATCTCACAGATCTAAAGTCAGTGGAACTTAAGGGTACTGCTGATCACTGTACTTTGTAAACCATATAAACATTGAAAAGCAAGGATTATTATCTCTTTCAGAAATGCCTGGTAACAGATGTGTTTCAGATTTAAGAATTTTTCAGATTTTGGCATGTTTCTATAGACTTTACTGATTAAGCATATCTAATCTGAAAATGCAGAATCTGAAATACCCCTAAATCCAAACATTTTTAAGTTGCTGACAAGATGATTTAAAATTTTCTGGGTTTTGTGTTGAGAGCGTACCTCATTTTCTCAAGTGAAGATATCATTTAAGAAAACAATATACTGGAAAAATAGTTCATAAAGGTTTTCCTATGATAAGTATTCTTCTAACAAATTTTATGTTGACAACTGATTTGAAGCTTTGAAGATTATGATTTGAACAGTGAACTGGGTTTATGCTAGTGTTCTAACTAAAGGTCTGTTTAATTTGTTAGAATTATTAAGCCTCCGTTCAGATCACGTTAGCAACTAGACTGGTGTGACAACCTGTTTTTAATCAGTGACTCAGAGCTGTTACCACCCTGATGTCCCCGAATGGCCACAGCTTGTAAAAGGTAACTTTGAATGTTATTCTACAGTCTTTACAGGCTGTCATTGTAAAGTGAATTTGTGCTGTATAAATGAAGGCAATGCATAGGAGGCAGGGATATTGCTAAGATAGAGGACCTAAGAATTGAGCTATTTCTCCATTTAAGATCCTTTTGAAGATACTTATTAGAGTGAATTTCTTACCTGTCCTTTTATTCATGAAGATAAGTAGTCACCAAAGACCTGTTTTTCTGTATAGAAAATGTTTCTCAAACGTGTGAAGATTGCACTGTAGACGTTTTAGGAAATACATGGAAAATGCCTTGATTAGTGTTTGTAAGTGTACTTCTGTTGTGGTGGAAGTTTACATGCCTCTCCAGAGGTGCATCTTTAGTAAAGTTAGTCTGCAATGGTGTTAAAGGTGCAGCTCTATATCCTTAGAAGGGTGTATTTGCTAGTTCACGCTGCATTGCTGAGGTTACTTGGGTGCATTGTCATCCCTTTCTGTCGTTCAGGTTGATACTTTTAAGACTGTCTTCTCCAGTGTTACTAGGTATGTTTCAGTTTGCCAATTTCATTTTTTTTTTAATTCTGTCAAACTTTAGGATAAATTGGGTTAGTTTCTGTTTTTTTAAAGTTTGGTTCATTTTAAATTTTGAATTTGGTAAACTAGAAGTGTATACTATGTTCTTAATTGTAAAGTGTTGGCAGTAAAGGAACAATAAGCTCCTTAAGAACCAAAGTACAGCTTTGGGTTTGTTAGTAGGTACTTGAGAGTTAATTCTAGTTTTAGGGTATGTTTTAGTAATTTACCTAGAATACTATTGAAGTAGTCTGAAAGCAGACATTAGTCAGATGTACACAGTTAGTAATAACATCTTTCTGTTGTGTATATTTACTTTTATTTTGATTGAAATAAAACTGTAGTTTGAATGAAAGCAGCCTGTGCTGTGTCTGAGAGTCCTGAGAATAGTTTTAGGATAATAATCTTTGAATCCTTTTTAACTCTGTTCTTTCAATTAGGTTGTCTTAAATTATTAGTTTGGCTTACTAGTGTTTAATGGCTTGCTCTGATATATGTAGACATTAAATAGAGATCTAGTGTGTGTATATATATGTATACACACACCTACACGCTCAGAGTACTTTTTTGGCATTGTGATACTGGTGTTTACATATTCTGTTTAGGGAACAGAAGTTGGGAAAATAGCTATAGTTGGCCCTTTGAAGATATATTTGCTCTATAGACTATTTTCGGATCTTGAAACTTTGCAATAGTTCTGTAATGTTCTCCTGAGGCATGTTTTTTTCCCTCATGTCTTACATTTTTCCTGTGTTTTTTTCCTCATCATTTCCTAATCTTTTAAAAAAAATTGCTTTTCCAATTCATTTCAAACATTTTGCTTTCTATCTGTTTAACAAGTTCGAATTTGCCTTTGTCATTTCTAACACGTTTATTTTTTATTTTATTTTGCAAGTGAGCTTTACCTGACACTGTAATTTTGGATGTTGGAGGGGCACACTAAAAAATGAGCTAGCTAGTCTATATGGGTTATCATCTTGTTTTAGCTCTTCTAGCCGTTTTGTATAGGATGTAAGTTTCGGAACAGTCTTGGGATACCCAGATGATGTGCTTGTTCCCCGTGGAGAGAGGGTGGAAGGGTGTTGCATTTGTTATCACATCCAAGCCGCAGTTTCAGTTCCTGTGTAATTTTGTGTTAAACAGAAACTATAAATACACTGCTAAGAAAATCTAAAGTATTTGAGCTTTGGGATCTGTTTTTAATCAAACGTGCTTTTTTCTCTCTTTCTGTGTGTGTGTGTGTGTTTACTGACTTGGAATCTAAATGAATTGCAGTGTTATTTTGAAGGTCTAGCAAAGAAGTGAATTTTTGATGCTAAAAGTAATTTAGTAAGTCTTAAAATTCTTTTTTTAATTTTAAATTTATTTTATGTGTATAAGTGTTTTGCTTACAGGTATGCACGTGTACCACATGTGTACCTGGTGCCCACAGAGGCCAGAAGAGGGCATCAGACCTGGGACTGGATTTACAGATGGTTATGAGCAACTGTGTGGGTGCTTGGAGTCAAACCTTGATACTCTGGGAGCAGCCAGTGCTCTTAATCAATGAACTACCTCTCCAGCCCTGATTTAAGGTTCTTTGCTAAAAATAGTATCCATAACCATGTGCCAAAATAAGCCTTTTTATAGACTTTTTTTTGTTTGTTTGTTTAAGTTGGAAAGTCTGAAGTCATAAATTCACAAATCCAGTCTTGGTATATTTATATATACCAATTTGAAATTTAACTTAATCTTTTTTTCCCTACCCATTTGGGGAATTTGAAGTGATAGATAGAGATAGGTACTAAAATCAGTTCACCATAGAACATTGAGTTTCATACTGGTAGGTGTTGGCACACACCTTAATCCCAGCATTTCAGAGGCAGAAGCAGGTGGATCTTTGTGAGTTCAAGGCCAACCTGGTCTACAAAGCAAATTCCAGGACAGCCAGAGCTACACAATGATATTCTCCCCCTCCCCCCCCAAAAAAAAAGAAAAAAAGGGGACATTGCCTATCACATTAATGATTAATAAAAATTAACATAGTAACAGACTTTTTTAGAAAGTTAATTGACTTTTGTGATGCAGCGTCTCACTGTTTAATTTAGGCTGGCCTCAAAGTGAGGATGATCCCGGTTTAGCCTCTGAGGACAGGAGATACAGGAAAGTGCTGCTGTGCCCAGCTTTAGAAATGTTCCTTCACCATGTGCCTTCTGCTCCAACCCAATAAAAATAGCATGCTTCTTGATGCTTTAGATGTATGTATTTCCTATAATAACTAATACATTAAAAATAAAGAAAATAACCAGCAATTCTTAAAGCTGAAACTAGCTTACAATTATCTAGCAAATATAATGCTCCACGTACATGCTGATGATATTTAAATATTTCTTAGGGAAAGCTAATTTCCTTATTGAACCACAGTATTCATGATTAGAATGGTACATAGCATTTAACTATCTTACAATTTACATGTACTATAATATCATAGTTCAAATTGTCTAGAGTAGAAACTGGCAGGTATTTTTTAAGGAACCTGTGAATATTTTAGGTTTTGAGGGAAAACTGGTCAATATACATAGACAGTGTTTCAATACATGCAATTATCTCAGTAAAACATACCTACAAAATCAGGTGATCATTCCACACCTTGGCGTGTTTGCCCGGGTTACAGTTTGTTAACACTTCATTTAATTTCAAGACTATGAATATCAATTTGCTAATGCAGACAGCACATCTTGATAGAAAGATACTGTTTTGTTTTTCATACTGTTTGACTTTGTAAATTATTATAGCTTATACTGATTTGATATCTGAGTATAATGATTCTAATTTCTTTTTTTTTTTCTTTTTTAAAGCATCTGGGCTTTTAAAGTTTGTCCTTAAATGTGTTATAACAATGTTCTTTGAACACTTTTTCTCATTTTAAAAAAGCCTTTCATTAGAACTTAAATATTGCTTTCAAATTTATCTTCCCTACTTACATTTCTGTCCCTTTTTGGAATTCACTAACCTTTGACCTTAATTACATTTTACAGATCACCAGGAGAATCCCGGCCTGAGGACATTGAAGCTAGCCGAATGTAAGTATAACTTGGTTCAGGCTATGTGTGTTTTAAGTTGCCCTATACTGCCTTATTGGAAAATACCTTCTAGGCTTAAAAAAAAAATCAATAAAATAAATTTAAATAAGAAGAAAAAAATGAAAATTATATTCAGACATTGGAAAATATCTACTTCTCCCCTTACCAAATGCTTCCATGATCTGCAAATCATTAGATGTCTGATGGTAAGTAGATAATTGTGTACATGATTCTCAATTCTTGTGCTTTTGTGCTCTGAGCAGGTGTGGGTAAACAGGGAAATGACAGTTAGGTTTGGCCTTGTTGGTACCTGCTATTGACTAATATAACTAATGAAAACAAGACTATGTAGATGTGACTTCTGTTTATTCTAAGTCATCAGGTCCTGTGTTTTGGATATAAAGATGCATGAGAATTAGTTCCTACTCTCTGAAAGAGCACAAACAAATATTTTTTATTATTTAAATAGAACTATAGTTGGGTTATAGTGAGAATACAGAGGAATACCAAGCTATGCAATAGAAATATAGTGGAGATAGTAAGAAAATTAGCATAACTGGGTAAAACTAAGTGTAATTTGAAATGTTACTAGGAATTAAGCAGCTGGAAGTTTGACTGTTTTTTAGGCAGAGTTATGGGCAAGGTTCTGAAGCAGGACACTTGAGTACAGGGAAGAGTGAGGAACTGAGACTTTTTCAAGGTCTAACAGTGAGGAATGAAAACTGGAGAAAGAATCATCATTACAGGGGATTAGGCAGGAGACTGTTGCAATGGCATGGTGAATAGAGTATCTGCCTTGCAAGTACGAAGACTGGAGTAGGGGAAAGGTGGCTGGTAGGTTGGCAGAAATGAGTGCCTTAGTAAATAAAAAGCAGTTGTTGGAGACACTGACTTCTGCATATGCCTCCCCACACATGTTAATGTACCTGCACAAATGCATAGTACACATTCTGAAATTAGAAGGAGCTAAAGATAGATATATGGAGCTGTATTTAAGGATGTTGTTGAAAAAGTCAAGATTTTCTTTACTGAAAGCAGATTACATCATTTTAAATGCTTATGTACATTGTGACCCTCACAAAACCGACTATGACATATATATTTAAAATTTATGTGACCATATAATTTCTATGATAACTTTAAAACAATTATAAAATGTAGAAAATTTACTATTTCTCATTTTAAACTATGCAATTCAGTGCTATTGTGAATTTTTGGGCATTTATCATCAGAACTGTTTGTATCTTAACAATGCTGAAACTTTGTGTGCATTAAATAGTGACTCATTATTCCTAATTCCTACTGACTGGCAACTATGATTCTGCTTTTTGTCTGAATTTTGGTGCTTCTAACTACCTTAAGTAAGTGCAGTCACAACAGCTTTTTTTCTTTAATGATTGGCTTATTTTATTAAATACAGCATCCTCAAAGTTCATTTCTTTCTATCATATGCTAGAGCTTCCTTTTTTTTTCAGGCTGAGTAATTTCACTTGCTTGTATATGCTATATTCTGCCCATCTATCTGTTTATCTGTTAATGGGGTATTTCTGTGTTAGCAGTTGGGAATAATGCTGCTATAAGCATAGGCCTATTCTTTGAAACCTTGTCCAAAATTCTTTTGGGTCTAAATATGAATTATAATTATTATATCATGGTAATGTTTAATATCTTGAGATTATGCCATATTGTTTTAAACAAAAGCTGTACCATTTTATTTATATTACTTACAATAAAAGCTTTATAATTTTCTACAACTCGGCTGGTGTATTAAAATTTCTTTGGGGAGTTGTAGTCATCCCAAAGGATGTGATTTAATTTATTACAGTTTAGTAACCGAGTAGCTTTTTTGTTGATTTTATTCTTAAAAAGCAAACAAGTTTATTTTGTATACCTAGAAAGCTGCAAGTATGACAGAAACTGAAGAGCAAGTGCCTTTCCTTTTGAGACAGGATTTTTCTGTGTAGCCCTGGCTTTCCTCTTTCTATACCAGATCTGCCTCTGCCTACCAAGTCCTGGGATAAAAGGCATGTGCCATCACCACCAGCTCCCCAGGTGCCTTTCTATGAAAAAAAATGTAATGGTGTTTTGTGGAACACTAATTAGCATAATTGATTTGGGATTGAGTATACTAAAAACTTAAAAAAGCGAAGAAGGTGCTGGAGTAATGAAGCAGACTAAACGTTGAAAGTTCCATGTATTGAATGGCCAGCTGAGTTAGAAACCTCATATAATGCTTGCAGTTTTCAGAGACTTCTCTAGTAGTCTCTAATGAGTAATACTTACGTTGATTGGAGCAGGATAGGACAGACTACAGCTAGTGTTGTATGCAGACTACTTATTGCATTAGAGCATTTTGCATTCACATTCTTTTATTCATGGGCATGATTGAGAAATTTTTGCTGTCACAAGATTCTAAAGCAGTAATTAAATCTCTTGCCAGATAAAGCCTAGACCTAATGTCTTGATTACTGGAATCCACTAAACATTTAAGGAACTAATAATAATATTTTCCAAGCTCAGTCAAAAATTTTGAAGATTTCCAAACTATTCTTATGAGCCAATCATTGCTCTGCTATGAAAACAAAAGAGAAACTCTACTACTATTGGCTAATAATAAGAGTTCTTAAGAAAGACAATTGCAGAACGAATTTAAACAACACATAAATATTATTCACCATAGTTTAATGGGTTTACTTTAGCCGGGTATGGGGTGCATCCCTTTAATCTCAGACTCAGGAGGCATTGGCTGGTGGATATCTTGGTCTACAGAGTGAGATCCAGGACAGGCTGAGCTACATAGAGAAACTGTTCAGAAAACCAAAAGAGAAACAACAAAAACAATGAAAAAAAAAAAAAAAGCCAAGTCTTTTGCACTACAGGTACCACATTGCCTTACTCTCTAAGTCAAGGATTCTTGAGGCTGCAGAGCTGGCTCAGAGCACTGACCATTCTTGAAGAAGAAAAGTACAATATGCTTAATACATATTGAGCTGAGAAAATTGGGTATGCATCAATAGAAGAATGAATTATGTACTTAGTTAATAGCCTTTACAACTGTCAGCTACTGTAAGAAGACAGGAAAAACTTGCTAATATTTGTGTTTGTGAACTTTTTAAAAGGCATGACAACAAAAAAATAGCCTAATGGGATTATGCCAAATTTAAAAGCTAACTGCAAATGAAAAGATGTAATTAATAGATAAACGCCTTGAAATGACAGAAGCATTTGCATTTGAGGAGTTAATACATGAATTATTCAAGTCAGATAATTGATTGCAGAAGTTGCCTTAAATAGTTGCTTCTGAAGAAGTGATACAGGTTGGTAAAGTACTCGCCTAATAAGCCTAAGGACCTGATTTGATAGTGTAGTAACAGCATAAAAGTGCAGGGTATGGTAGTATACACATAAAACTCTAGTGTAGAGGGAAGACTCAGGAGGATCCCTGGGGCTACTCTAATTGGTAAACTCTATGCTAATTAGAATTGGACTACATTCCTGTGAGACTCTACTGTAGCCAACACATGGAAAAAAAGGAGTCCAAATGGCAGGAGTATCTAAATGAAAAAAATTTGCCTTTTACTTTTTAAAAATTATTCTGAGGTTTATATTTCTCCCTTCCCTCTACTCTCTGCAGACTCTGACATATATCTTTCCTTGTTCTCTTTCTGATTTTTCTGAGAAAAAAAAATCTAATGTTTTTACTTTTTGTTGTTCCAGATAGGTTTTCTCCTTGTAGCCATAGGTGCCCTGGTACTTGCCCTATAGACCAGGCTGGCTTCATACTTCCTGTCTCTGCCTCCTGAGTGCTGGGATAAAAGGTGTGTGCTACTACACATGACTTCAGATTCATGAGAGAAAATTTATAATCTCGGTAATCAACTAGAAAATCAAATTGAAGCAACAGTGAGATAACACCTCATACCTGCAAGGATGGTCATTATCAAAATACGAATGTTCATGATGACAAACAGAAATCTTGCACACAGTTGGAGGAAATGTAAATTAGATCTGTTATGAAAAGTAATAGTTTCCTCAGAAATTTCAAAGTAGAATTGCCATGACCTAGCAATTATATTATAGGAATATATAGCTAAAGGAAATAAAACTCGTGTGTTGAAAGAGTTACCTGCATTTTCATGTTGATTGCAATCAGAATGCAAAAATAAACTAGTGTTTGTCAGTAGGTACATAAATAAAATTTGGAATATATGATAATGTAATTTTTAACTATTAAAAATTGTCTAAAATCTTATGTCTGTGAAAACGTGGGTGGAAATGGTGGTTCACATTCAGTGAAATAAGTCAAGCACAGAAAAACAAGTGCTGCATGATCTCATGTGTGTAAACTGTAAAAACATTGACACTCTTAAAAATGTTACTTGTGATAGACTAGATGGTGGTCACAGAATACAAAATGGAAAATTTAGTTCAGAAACTTATTGTACAGCGTTGTGACTTGTTAATGTATGTGTTCTTGAGTATCACTAAAGGTGAAATCTTAAGTATCTTTGCAAAGATGCTTTGTATGTGAGGTGATGCAGTTCTTACTTGTCAATAAAAATAAAAATTTTGGAAAAACATATGTGCCTTTCATATATCAAAATTATTATTTCATGAATGAAAGCTTTTAACAGATTGATAAAATTTCATAATCATAGGTATATGGTGTTTAATATGCTTAAGATAAAGGAGTAATTGAAGTAAAGAGATACTAAAATTCTTTAATATTAATGGAAGTAATTTTGAGATTCTTATACGGGATTATAACGTGCACATTGACACTGATATGACTTTATTGGTGACATAAAAGAGTAGAAAAAAGTTTTTTTTTGGTCTATAAGTTTAATAGAACAGAATGGAAAGACAGAAGGTATTCAGGTAGCTTTTATGAAAGCTTCACGTTAGAAGCTTGCGCATTTAGGGTTTTTAAGAATCTTGATATTTTTCTGGGCATTTTGGCTCACTCCTAGAATCCCAGACTTGGGAGGTTGTGTAGGGCT